TAACCTTTTTCATAAAAAATAGTAATTTCGCGTTTTGACACGCAACATACTCCCCCATTGAGAGCTGCGCGATCAATTACTCATTGGAGTTGTGGTCTATGGGCAGTGGTGCCAAGCGTCGAACATTTCGATCTACTTCTCCAGTAGAGGTTCGAACCTTGACCTTTCTGATGATGTTGTCGTCTGATGGATAGGTTTCAATGACGCGACCCAGGCGCCATTTGAGTGGAGGTAGATTGTCATCACGTAGGAGCACCAGCGATCCAATGCTGATGTCATGATGTCCTGACGTCCATTTGTGACGAACGTTGAGCTCAGAGAGGTATTCTCTGTGCCATCGGTTCCAGAAGTGTTGTTTAATTTTCTCCAGGTGTTGCCAGTAGGAGAGACGATTGCTGGGTGTCTCTGTCCAATCTGGCGCAGGGAGATCAGTGCTGATGTCTCCATGCAGGAAGTGAGCAGGTGTGAGTGCGGTGAAGTCGTTGGGGTCCGATGATAATGGAGTTAGAGGTCGGGAATTGAGGATTCCTTCAATTTTGATGCACAGTGTATTGAGCTGTTGATAAGTTAACAACTCGTTTCCGATGACCCTCTTCATGTGGTGCTTGCAAGATTTGACGGCAGCTTCCCAGATGCCACCGCAGTGAGGAGAGACAGGGGGAATGAACTTCCATTCAATACCCTGTTCAGCGAGATGTTGATTAATGAAGTCACTGTGCTTCTCATCGTTGAGAAGAGCGTACAGTTCCTTCATTTCTTTATAGGCACCGATGAATGTTGTTGCATTGTCTGAATGTAGGACTCTGCAAGATGGATGTCTGGAGATGAATCGGCTGAGGGTAGCCAAAAATTCTTCACTGGTCAAATCGTTGACCAGCTCGATATGCACTGCTTTGGTGGTGAAACATACGAAAATGCAAACCCAAATTTTCAGTTTTTTGAGGTTGCGATGTCTTTTTTCTTTGATGGAGAATGGACCACAATAGTCCACTCCGGTGTGAGTGAAAGGCTTCGTCTGGGTGATGCGTGCGCTTGGGAGATCTGCCATTAGGTAGTTGACTGGAGGTGGATCTACCTTGGCACAGTTGATGCACTTGTGAATGATGTATCTCACTTGACTACGTCCGTCGATGGGCCAATACCGCTGTCTGAGTAGATGAAGAGTAGTC